CACTACCCGAACAACGACAACGCTTTGGTTGGAAATCTCTCTTGGGAGACCCAGGCGAGAATTGGAGGACGAAAAATAAATTGGCCTTAAAATCGGATTTAAACACGTGAATTGCGTCAAGTTAAATAGGGACAGGAACAAATAGCGGATTTCTATGGAGACTTTGATGTAACTACGGCGGCGTCGGCGTCAGAAAGGAGCTTCCGGGCAAGTTGAATGTCTATCATCTTCTCAGAACGACCCTACGCCGTGAAAGCTGTTAGTTAGGTAATTAGCCACTTAACACTGCTATGGCTTAGTTTATGCAGTAACTCGTCTACTGACAGATTAAACCCGAACTCCCTGTCCGAGACGCACGCACTGCGTCTTGTCTGTCCGTCGCAGAACGTTACTAGGATAGCGAGCGTAATGGCTGTGGAGATGAGAGCAACTAATTTCGTTCAAGGTAATTGTGGGAGGTTGGGCCGCGCCATAGCTCAAGCGGTTAGTCGCTGGCTTCCCACCGCGGCGGCCCGTGTTCGATCTCGGGTCTGGTCAAGGGGGATTTGTGGTGGACAAAGTGGCGCTGGGGCAGGTTTTCTCCGAGTACTTCGGTTTCCCCTGCCAATCTTCATTCCACCAGTTGCTCCACAATCACCTTCACCTATCATCTGGGGCTGGTGCAATAGGCCACAAATGGCCGCAGTACAAGGGACTTAGTTAGTTAGTTAGTTAGTTAGTTAGTTAGTTAGTTATTGGAGAGGGTGGGTTTCCCCATGCACTTAGACCTGTATTGGTCCATTGTGCTTCCCTCTATGATTTCTACCAGTCTCTATATCCTACCGGTACTGGTGCTTACCATCAGTCCCGCCCAACCAACGTTACCTCTAGACTGCGGAGGCCGCTTACAAGGGACTTAGTCCCACCCCACTAGCAATAAAAGAAACTGTGGCACGTTTCAGTGTACTTCACGTGTTTAACGAATTGGCGACAAAATGTAATACTCTCTGAAGAGAAGTTTTACTTCCTTAGCATTAATGCGTATAGGTAACCGAGCAGGTTGCTTGATGGTAGTGGATCTGAATCATATTTCGGAAGTACAGGGTTCGAACTGGCGCTCCTGATTATTCATTATTTTCAGAGTAACTTTTTGTCTGTTCATTTTTTTTCTTTGTCGCTACAGCCCCAATTTGGGCCTTGGCCTGCCTCCAAGAAATTCTAAATTTCACTTCGGTATTGTTTCATTAGTTCTTAGATATTCGGTAGGGCTCCTTGGGCGGGTGATCAGCTCGTCGCAAGGCCTCTACCTGTACACAAACACCAAACATCCATGCCCTGAGTGGGGTTACAACCCATGATCCCAGCTTCCGAGCGAGCGAAGGTAGTGCATGCTCTAGACTGCTCGGCTACCGTGACCGGCGCGCCTGTTCTAGCTTTAGTGGAATTTCAAGAATTTCAAAATACCAAGTCTTTGAGACTCATATTTTCCTTCAGTTGTTTTTCCACGTAGTGTGGTTAGCGAGAATAGAGAACATAGATGTATGCTGTTATTGTAACTCTCAACTAATACAGATTCCGAAAATGCCCGATATAGCTTAAAATTCTAACACCGTTCTCGCAAAGAAAGTAATACTTGAGATTTCAGGTTCTCATAGCTGAGACCATGAAAACTACAGCTTTCTGGGGTGCATCGTGAAGACTGCCAGAAATATACCGTCAGTTAGAACAGCGTACTGCCTCTATTTTAATCGAAATGTGTCTTTGTCTTCGATCCTGAAAGCGGAGGCGTTGCATTCTACAGGATCGTCGATACAATTTACAAAACTGTTCGGTGTAAACTCTCAGAAGGTTTCACGCTAAATAATATTTCTTATACAATTCTTAATTATGTTTAGTATTTACGTCTGTACAAATTTGAGATACCTTTCTTCGATTATCAGAACTTCTTATGAATAAACCTAAGTACAAATATAATTTCCTCACGGCAGGCAGCCACTTCGAAATTTGAAATATCGAGACACGGATTATATGAGCTTAGCAAAAGCTGCAAATTTTTGGAGGTCTAGCAACACATCAGATTCAAGAACCCTACATTAGTAGTCCTTAATATTATTCCAGCTTTGAAAAAAACGCGCTGTCGTTATGTTGACATTACTGGTAAGGTAAAAAGAAAGGTAAAGCTATCCCTGTAAAAGTCCCTGGAGCCTATAGGGTTGTGAGATGTCGAGGCTCCGACTTTTTCTAGACAGTCGGCTCACAGATGGCGGTAAGGTTGTTAGCCCTACGCGTATTGTATCAGTGAATTTGATAAAGAACGCCTATGAATTTAAAAGAAAAAAGAAGGAGAACACACTTTTAAGTTCTGATTCCTGAAAGGTTTACCATTCATCAGAATGACCATTTGAGCGTATTTAATGTTAGTAAAATAAAATGTTTTATATATCTTCAAACCAGTAAATCATTCAATTCATTATCACTTGTCTTTCGAATGGGAGGTTCAGCAGTTAAAAACGTTATCTGAGATACTTGCAAGGTTATATGAAACGTTTTAGAAGATGAGTTTTACAGAAACCTACCAATTCAGTGGCATTAAACAGCAAGAAGCTGTTCGAAAAAAATGACACTTTCCTAACTGTATAGGAAGTTTAAATGTAAAACATATTGAAATTGAGTGCCCATCATGCAGAGGCTCACAATACTATAACTAAAGACAATATTTTTTGATATTATAAAAGGTTAATCATCTCCGCCCAGTGTGACTGATAAATAGTTTTTTTCTTTCCCTCCTTTTTCAATCTTTCATCTTTGACATTATTCGGTCTTAGAGACGGTCTTCAGAAGGATATACGTATCAATACAGGCTAGTGTGCTAGTCTGACGGAACAGAATGTACGAAATCTAATTTCTTTCGATATTACTTCAAGCTCAAATTGACACGGATTGCAAAACGATACCTGTATATATCGGGGAAGTAGGACGTCGAAGTAATGGAGGAAATTTCTAGATCGTCTTCATTATTTCAGTTTTTCGAAAGAGGCGAACTTAACGTCCCATCGGACACAGAACTACCTGGAACTGCGCTGGAAGTTTTATTTGTTATAGTAGCTGACGAAGCCTGTTCATTACTACTTTCTTTAACGAGACCATATCCTAAACTAATTCCGGGTAATCCGAGTCGTGTTTTCAACTGTCGTTTGTCCAGAACTCGAAGAAGTGCTTTTAGGATTATGTGTAGTAGGGTAAGGGTAAATTGTCCCCGTGCTTAACTAATTAAGCACTACGCCATGGAGGTGTATGGGGAGTGGATATATAGATCCACGTTCCCTTGACCTCGGCACTAGTTTGAGGTGTTTAGTTTGACGCTTCGACCGCTTTACGCCGGGGGAGAAAGCCCCCGGTACCCATTGTATAGGAGGTTGGGTGGACCCCAGAGCAGGTCTGGAGAAGAGAAAATTCTTGACCTTTCCAGGACTCGAAACCCTACCTCTCTGCGTTCCAGCTCGTAGCCAGTTGCTATCCCGACTACACTGTCTCGTCTCTTTATGTGTAGTGAATGACGTATATTACTGGAATTATAGAAATGCATTTTTCAAATGACATTTTTATCGTTAAACCAATATGCGTTCTGCACATATCCGTTCTCCAAGAAGAATCTCGCGAGCTAACGGAATTTACTGGAAAGGAGACGAAAGAACCTGGTGATAAAGATTGTGGACAGTCACAAAAACGCTTTAAAGAAATACCTAGAAGATTGGGTAGGAGTACATCAATCGGGCTCTTAAATTCAACATGGCAGTCGCCGAACTTATATGTCGAATGTGGCACTCTTGCCCGGATCGGTTATCTTAGCTGAAATTCTATGAAATTTTCTTCATTCCAACCGGGCAAATGAAGCGATGGAAGCCGAAAAGTTTGTGATGATGAAATATTAATAAAACTATTGACTTTTTCGACATTGTTCATCGTTCTTTTTTTTTTCTTTAAAAGCAACGTTTCGGAGCATGGATTTTGTCTCCATCCTCAGGCCTACTCTGTTAGGCCCAATCGATAGAGCTAGACCCAGGGCGATAGGTAATTATTTTTAAAGTTTGTACCATGTTGCATATATACAGTCGACATATACAGCAGCAACAACAGACACAAAGCTCATCACACCTCACGACATCTTTAAAAATGTTTTTAAGAATCAATTTTGGATATAGTTTTAACCTAACTGTTATTTTTACTGTTTAATCACATGTATGATTCTTGTTTGAATCAATGTCTAGTCTAGTTCAGTCTAATTGGTGAATTGAATTTCTATGGAAAGTAACCTATTATTATGGAGAGTTTTATGGAGGTAGGCCAAAGAACAAATAGGGGCTGTAGCGCCAAAGAAAAAATTATGAACCATACGTATGTATATATAAATTGGAATGCGAGAGTTGCAGTTCATTGGTTGAGTGTGTAAGACTTGCAACACCTGAGGATGGCCCGTTAGGGACGAAATATATAGTGCTATGTATGTCAATAAATAATTGTTGCGTTGACGGTAGAATTTATATATGTTGTCGACAGATAATATCCAGAAAGTCAATAATTACAGAGATAGACGCTTAAAAATGCGTAAAGATTTCTACTTGCCATATACACTTCGATATTCATCTCTAAGAGCAATCTCACATTCAACGCTATATAACAGTTTAGTTTGCTTTAATTTAATCTAATACAAATTTTATAACAACTTAAAAGAGTAAGATTATTTGCAAGACGTTTAATTTCCTGTCTCAGAGAAGACACACTGTATCACCTTTAAAAGTGTCAGTCTCTTCATGGAATTTAAAAAAATTTTGTTTCTATATTTTGAGAAGAATCCCTCATGGAATTATGTGAGGAAAGGTCGAATTATTGGAAATTGAAGCAAGTTTCACGCAGTTGGTTAGTACACACATAGTCATCCCTGAACTACAGAGAGTAAACATCTTCTTAAATTGTGAAATAAAACAGAATCTTGTTTTCTATGATTTGTGATTTATTTACAGGAACTCGAGAGAAGTAGCACCGAATTAGGTTCCCTCGTTGGCGATCATCTTTGTATGGCAGAAGGTAAAGTGAATTAAAGACACTTTATATATAGTAATATCATATTTATAACATTCAGTATCATAGTATACATGAATTATTTTCACATTTTGGAAATATGATTTAATTGCAACATTCTTGGTCTGTTGGAAAGCGCTTTCTATTTTTAATTACTTCATCCAGCCACCCTTGGGAATCTTTCAAATAATCACTTACTGAATGGTTAAACTTTGATGAACAACTAGTTTCAAACAAAATTCTTTCTTATATATGAAATACGACGAATAAGAATGATACAAATTCTGTACATGGACACCCGGTATGCGATGAAGCTTTATGTCGCTAGATCATTCTCCCGCTGGGTTCATGTGTTAGAACCCCACTTAGGGTATTTTTCTATGTTTTCCGCTGTGTCGATAGATGCCTTAAAATTAACGCGCCTAACATCGAAAGATTCTTGTTAATCGTGTTAATAATTTGATCTTGGTGAGACCTGAATTTCTCATAATTTACAGAAATTTGCGGAGTAACTTCGGTAAGCTTATTCCCGACTGCACGGAGCCACATCGACAAAAACTAGCAAACGTTCAGTTTGTATCTCATTAATTCTGAATCTCAAAAATGAAGCCAGATTAATCCCTGACACATGACGGGGGAAAATGGGAGTCTGCATTTGCATGGTTACTTTCATAGGCTAAATTTAATAGGCGTATATTACACATATTATACCGATCTAAAAAACCGAGATTAACTTCTGTGGGGATCCGTTGAACTGACGACGCGACACCCTCTATCCGCTGAAGTTGGCACTAACTTCGCCGACAAGCGGCGGTCGCTCAGTCAGTATCCTCGGAGTTTTTTAATATTGTATTATATTATATGCCTTGCGACGTGCTGATCCCCTCTTCAAAGGGTGTATGGACACCGAATTATCAGGGAACTATCGATTCGCTTCTGCTCGACCTTAGTGAAGAGGGAAGAAGATTTATTTTCTGTTAAATCATAGACGCCTCTCGTCAGCATACCAAAAGTTCACAAAGAAATGTAAAACAGCTAGGGATAGCAGTAACATTTGTCACAGTCATATTTTGGTGGCTAAACTTCTGACTATATCACGCGAATGACAAGCTGATTTAGGTGGGAGGGCAGAGGACCACAGTTAAGCTTTCGCCGCACTAATCAATCAGATTACCCGATTTTCTTTATATTTAAACCAAACCATATATAGCCCAAGAAAGTCTGTCTTATCCCTATTTAATCACATAACTTCTTTCCTACAATTTCGGCTCAACTCAAGGAGGCAACAAGTTTCCCCCGAAACGACGGAGAATTACATTGCTTCGACAGGATGCGATACCAAGAAGGTTCCACACTGAATATTATTAGGAGTATTTGGCTCCATTGCGCTGCAGCAGTTCAAATCACGATCAACTTTATGCATCCCTGTGTATAGCGTCACGTTATAGCCCCCCACTGTAGAGTGAGTATGGAGGCAAGCTCCGAACTCAGTCCCAGCAGACACCTGTTGGCAGGCTGCAGCCATTTGCATGGCCGTTAATAATTTATACAGTGTTAGTGCTTGTGTGGTACTATGCATACTACGTTGCTTTGTATCGAAATGAGAAACTACTTTGTAGTTACTTAACCAAGCGTATCTTGTGACTTTTACTCAACATTTTAAACACTAAAATTATTCTGAATAATATATAAAAAAAATTAGATCGTACCTCACAGTAAACAAATTACGTTCCAGCTACAAAAACCAACCGGTTAATGCTGTTTAGGTAAATAGTCGCTGTTCACTGTGAGATCCATGCGAATTATAAATACACTGTAGGAAGAATGTAGAGATTTTGTATATTAAAGCTGCTGATATATATAGTAACCGCCGGTCACGGTAGCCGAGCGGTCTAAGGCGTGCACTGTCTTCGCTCGCTCGGAAGCCGGGATCGTGGGTTCGAATCCCACTCAAGGCATGGATGTTTGTGTGCGTTTTCTATGTTTGTGTACAGGTAGAGGCCTTGCGACGAGCTGATCACCCGCCCAAGGAGTCCTACCGAATGTGTAAGATCTAGAAAAACCGAAGTGAACGGAGAAGTTCATGGAGGTAGGCCTAGGCCCACTGGGGCTGTAGTGTCAAAGAAAAAAAAAATATATATAGTAACCAACAGTTTTAATTGTTACTATTATTAATTAAGCCTATGAAGGTGCATAAATCAAGGAGTTCGGCTGATATCAGAAAGCCGCTCCTGTTGTAAAAAGTGGTTATTTTTATGTGATGATTGAAAGTGGCGAAATGCTCACATCTGTAAAAATGACAGCGCTCCTGTCCCTCTCAAAAATAATAATAACTTTAGGATTTGTAGAAATCTTCAATAAGCATTGTACCAACAGTAACCAGAGACATGTCCTCATCTCACAAGTTTGTTCATTTACCATTATGTAATTATTTATTGAAGGAAATGAAAAATTAAGTGGTTGAAATTATTTATGTTGACACATCTTTCTTGGCTATTTGGCCGTTGTTTCAATAGTCGATACAAGATGCACCACACACATGCAGTCACACTGACACACTCACTCACATTCATACACAGAAACACGGCATGTATATCTCGTAGATCTACATTTTTTCTTAGGGAAGAAAATTAGGCGAGAACAAAGACTGTTAGAACACTAAAACTCATAAGGAAGTGGGTACACATGTCTCTGTTTGACTTTCTTATATACCGGTACCTGCTATATGTGAGCAAGTGTTGTGATCGTGAAAAGATCGACGTTGAAGATGTTGACAGACTTGCACGCTTTTACCCTCCCCCTGTTACGAGAACATTGTTTGGCATGTTCTTTTGGCTTATTTTGGACTTCACCCATCGTCCGGTATATAAAAAGACAAAAAACCACAACGTTTCGGAGACTGGATCTGTCTCCGTCTTCAGGTGTATAGGGAA